GGCCCGAAACGTCAGCTTTCCTGCTCCTCTGATGCTGCATGGCCTGCTGTGTTCATCCAGCTCTACACTGTGTTATCGGAGACTTCCTGGCCACTGGTTCCATTGCCCTTCCTAGCCACTGACTGAGACTGAACCAGTTCATCTACAACCTTGATCCGGAGTTAAACTTCCAACTCCAAATTCACTCTATTACCACAACCACCTGCTTCCATTTCTGTAACATTGTCATTTCTGCCCTTAGCTCAGCCCATCTGCTCCTGCAAACCCTTCCCCCATTTGTCTTTGTTATCTTCATTCTCTATACTATAATTATATCAATGCTGCTCTCATGGCCTCCCAAATTCCAATCTCAATAAACATGGACTCATCCAACTCACTGTGACATGGTTCTGAATTCACAGCAAGTCCTGTTCCTTCATTTCCCTGTATTCCCTGACCTCGAATTCATCATCGCACTGATTTAAAAAAAAACTCTTTCTTGTTTTCAAATATCTCCATGGTGTCATCTCATTCCCATCTCTGTAAATATCTCCAGCCGAACAACCCTCCAAGATCAATTCCAGCCTCTTGCGTATCCCTGATTTTAATCATTCCACGATTGGCCAATCAGGCCCTTAGCACAACTGAAACTGCAAAATGCCTTGGATGGTTTAGTGCATTCAAAGCTCTATCTGTAAACAAGTTGTTGTTGATAAAGTTAGATTAATAAACTTTTACCCTTTGTTCAGTAAGCATTGCACCATTTCATCTCATTCAAGGTCCACCAGGAAATCCAGGCCCAAAAGGCAGCATTGGACCTATGGGGCCTCCAGGAGCATCTGGTGCACATGGACCCAGAGGTGACATGGGCCCCATGGGTCCCATCCCTGATCTATCCCACTTTAAGAGGGGAAGGCGAGGTCCAGTGGTAAGTATTTGACTGTGCCTGTGAGCGTGTGTGTATTTCTTGGAGTGTGTGTCCATATGTGTCTCTGTGACTGATTGTAGGCATATCTGTCCATGCGTGTATCAGTCTGTGTGTGTCTCTGTGAGTGTGTGTTTGTGTGTGTGTTTCTGTGAGTGTGAGAGTTGTGTTTTTGTGTGTGTGTGTGTGTGTGTGTGTGTCTCTGGAGTGTGTGTGTCTTAAGTGTGTGTGTATGTATGTGTCTGAGTGTGTGTTTGTTGTGTGTTTCTGTAAGCATGTGTGTGTATCTCTGTGTGCATGTGTGTATCTGTTTGTGTGTGCGAGAGTGTGCGTGTGTTTGTGTCAGAGAGAGAGAGAGAGAGAGAGAGACAGACAGAGAAAAAAAAGACAGAAAGACAGTGGTAGTCCCTCAAAAATGAGGATGACACTTGATCATGGCAAGAGCCTGTGTATAGAGCCTTATAGCACAGAGAGGCTTTGTGCTGCAGGTTCCACATGGTTCTAGCTGACCAGAGATCCTCTCGTTCTTACAGCCTGTCTGAGGCATTTACCTCGATCACCATTCTCGCAGGATCTAAATCCTGGTACTCCCTTCCTAACCACGCTCTGGGTGTACCTACATTCTGTAACTACAATGATTAAAGATGGCAGCTCACCATCACCTTCTCAAGTGCAATTTGGGATACACCATAAATGCTGGGCCAACCAGCAATGCCCACATCCAGGGAATGGATTAAAAAAAGAGGAAAAAGCTAAAGGATGACCTAATAATGAAGGGGTTTGAGCCAGGTGAACAGTCTGAAAGTTTTTTCACCGTTGAAGAAACTAAAGCTAAGTCTCATAAACATAAAATAGCCAGAAATTTAATAGAGTTCAGGAGAGACCTCTTTACCCAGTAAGCTGTTTGAATATGCAAATCGTGAGAGTGGTTGAGGTGAATAGCAAAGATACATTTAGAGGAAACAAGATCAGTACATAACAGAGACTGGAATGTTTGATAGGGTTGGACAAAGTAGGACAGAAGGCAAGATCATGACATTGAGCATTTGGGTTGAATGACCTGTTTCTGTGCCAGAAGATTTGATACTATGTACTTCTATGCAAGTGTTCATGCATTAAATTATGCAATGTAATTGTTGGACTTATTTCTGCATCTCAGTTTATTAGTTTTCCACCAGACACTTCAAGTCATTTATAAGTCTTGCATGAAAGCTAACTTTTGTAACACTTCTTAAAGACACAATGCGATGAAATACCTTGGTAGTGCTGATGATCAGACAGGTGATGCACTCAAGTACAGAAGGACTTGCATTTTGTTAGGAGTTGACCCTAGGGGAGTTTCCCCAATTCATTATAGTTGCAGACTCTTTAATGTTTCTTTGCCACCTTTAAGTGTTACATCCCATGGGTCTCTCGCTCTCTCTCTCTCTCTCTCTATAGACACCCACTTGATTTACATCCACAGCCATTTTTGGCTGTAACAGTCCTCTTGTAAAAAACAGTTTGGGATTAGGAGTTAAAAATGTCAACAGTACTTTCGGGGTTGTGACTGTCATTGTAACAACTTACCTAGTGCCTTTTGTGACCTCTGGATATCCCAAAGCACTTTACATTGAGTTAAGTATTTTATATTTTGTAATCTAGCATTAGAGCCATTGATTTGTCCACAGCAGAATCTCAGCACCAACGTGAGGATGTTTTAAGGTGTAGCTTGCATGATAAATATTCGGGCAAAACTCTCCTGTTCTTCTTCGAAATATTTCTGGGGGATCTTTTGAAACCACAAAGGGCAAATTGGACTTCCATTTCTATCCCGTGAAACAAATCATACCATCCAACCAGGTAATGCTCGAACGGAGTCTACGTCGAGGGTATAAGGAGGGGGAAGCTACTCAAAGCCACAGGCTTCCAACAAGAGTCTAACACAGCTACAACCAAGTGAAAGATCACCTTATTAGAATGTCTTCGTGTTGTTCTGGTCTTGATGACCATTTGTTCTGATGTTGAGAGTGGGATGGGGATCAGAGTCAGTGGGGGAAATAGGGCAGTACGACTGAGAAAGAAAGACTGCTTATTGACCGTAAACTTTAAATGTTCTGGGAGCAACAGAGGAACAATGCAGGTTTCAGGCAAGGAAGCTACACTAATGTAGGTTTAAAAGGGTCTAGGCCTGAAACGTCAGCCTTCCTGCTCCTCTGATGCTGCTTGGCCTACTGTGTTCATCCAGCTCTACACCTTGTTATCTTTGGTTTAAAATGGACCTCTTTTCAGGGCCTGTTCCAAATGGACTCCCGCAGGGACTCTTGCACAACTTTACAGAAAGCACCCAATTGTTGATTTCATTGGACTTGTACGGGGCAGTTAAGTTGACAAAAAGCCGTAGGTCTCCATAACCAACAGATACCACTCTTCCATTATCGGCTCTCAGATGATAAAATATTTCCACTCATTCTCCTGACCTCTACAAACAAAAAGAATACGTATGAGCTCTCTTCAAATGAACCAAGACCTTGGGGCGAGTAGAAATCCCAATTGTTTTCTCCATGACAATCAAGAGTCAACTTGCCAAACTATTGGCACCCATTTCTCTTCCAGTGTTAATTGTGATAGTTTGAAATTTGGCATTCTTGCATTTGTCCTGATGAATACTTTGACAACATGACTCTCATTTCAGCAATATCGAATATTTTGCAGACTAAAACTGTCCATTATATTTCTAGGGTGCACCTGGAACACCAGGAAAGAATGGATTGAAGGTATGATTTTTGTCTGGACCGTATTTACAGAACAATGCATACTATTGTTTTGAAGTCAGTTTTCTCATTTGTGACATGCTTCAGTCCATATGCCAAATGTTGCATGGGTGGAACGTTCCTGAGAAAATGCGTGTGATCCTCATTGGTTTAAAAGTTGAATTACACAAAATTTCCATCACAGAAACAGGCCATTTGACCCAACCGTTCTATACTGGTGTTCATGTTCCACATGAGTTACTTACCTCTTCATTTCACCCTATCAGAATTATCTGGTATTTAAAAGCCTACTAGTGTAATATGAAATGTATGGAATGAGGAAGCCTCAAGGCCTACTGTTGATTTTTTATTGACTTCCACCGAGATGAAGTTGGTCTCAGTACCTGGATTCAGCTGGGGCTTTCCCTCCTAATCACTGAGGTCCTTAATGAATATTTTGCATTGGCATTCACAAAGGAGAAGGATGTGGTGGATGATGAGTCTGGAGAGGGTTATTTAGGTATTCGAGGCATGCCAGTATAAAAAAAGAATGAAATATTGGGTGTTTTGAAAAGTAGCAAGACATGTCCCCAGGACCTGATGTGATCTATCCCCAGAATGCTGAAGGAAGCAGGTGGGAAAATTATTGGGGCCTTGAATGAAATCTTTGTATCCTCTTTAGTCACAGGAGAGGTTACAGAGGACTGGAAAATAGCCAACGGTGTTCCTTTGTTTAAGATGGGCAACAGGGATAATCAGGAAATTACAGGCCAGTGAGCTTTACATCAGTGGTAGGGAAATTTTAGAGGTTCTTAGGGTTAGGATTTACTTACATTTAGAAAAATATGGACTTATTAGCGATAGGCAATATAGCTTTATGCAGGGGAGGTTGTGTCTCACAAACTTGATTGAGTTTTTTGAGGAAATAACGAAGATGGTTGCTGAGGGCAGGTCAGTAGATGCTGTTCACATGGTCTGTAGCAAGGTCCTTCATGTCAGGCTGATACAAAAGGTAAAGTCACAGGGGATTTTTGTTGAACTGGTAAGATGGATACAGAACTGGCTTAGTCATAGAAGACAGAGAGGAGCTGTGGAAGGACGCTTTTCCGACTGGAGATCTGTGCCGAGTTGTGTTCTGGAGGGATCAGTTTGGGGACGCCTGTTGTTTGGAATATATATAAATAATTTGGAGAAGAATGTAGGTGACCTGATTAGCAAGTTTGCGAATGACACAAAGAATGGGAGAGCTGTGGATAGTGAGGAGGATTGCCAGAAGATACAGCAGGATATAGACAGATTGGTGACTTGGGCAGAGAAATGGTAGATGAAGTTTAATCTGGACAAATGCAAGCTGATGCATTTTGGAAGATCTAATGCAGTAAGAAGCATTTGGTAAATGGCAGAACCCCTTAGTAGCATCAATATACAGAAGGAGCTAGGCATATAGGTCCATGTTTCCTGAAAGTGGCAATACAAGTGCATAAGGTGGTCAAGAAGGCATATAGTATGCTTGCCTTCATTGGTTGATCCATAGAGTATAAAAATTGGCTGTTATGTTGCCTCCGGGGAGGCAATGGCCGAGTGGTATTATTGCTGGACTGCCAAACCAGAGACCCAGATAATGTTCTGGGGACCTGGGTTCAAATCCTGCCACGGCAGGGGGTGGAATTTGAATTCAACAAAAAAGTCTGAAATTCAGAGTCTAATGATGACCATGAATCCATTGTCAGTTGTTGAAAAAAATCCATCTGATCCACTAATGTCCTTTAGGGAATGAAACTGTCATCCTTACCCCATCTGGCTTATATGTGACTTCAGACCCACAGCAATGTGGTTGACTGAGCTGCCCTCTGGGCAATTAGGGATGGGAAATAAATGCTGCCTGGTCAACAACACCCTCATCCCATGAATGAATAAAGGAAAAAAAAAAGGCTGTATAGAACTTTAGTTAAACATCATTTAGAATATTGTAAAAACCAAAAGAACTGTGGATGTTGTAAATCAGGAACAAAAACAGAAGTTGCTGGAAAAGCTCAGCAGGTCTGGCAGCTTCTGTGAAGGTAAAAACAGAGTTAACGTTTTGGGTCTGGAGACCCTTCCTCAGAACTCCAGCAACTTCTGTTTTTGTTCCTCTATTTAGAATATTGTGTACAGTTCTGGTCAGCACACTACCAGAAGGATGTGGAGGCTTTGGAAAGAGTACAGGAATGGTTACCAGGATGTTGTCTGGTTTGGAAGGTATTAGCTATGAGGAGGGATTGGACAAACTTGGTCCATTTACACTTGAGCATCGAAGGATATGGGGGCAACCTGGTAGGAGTTTACAAAATTATGACAGACATGGATAGAATGGATAGTTGGAGTCTTTTTCCCAGGGTACAAATGTCAATTTTTAGGGGACATAGCTTTAAGTAAAAGAGGGTAAGTTTAAAGGAGATGCAAGGTTTTTTGTTTTACAGAGAGAGTGCAAAATGCTTGGAATATGCTGCCACTGGAGGTGGTGGAAGCAGCTACAATAGCAACATTTAAGAGGTATCTTGACAGTTATATGAATAGGCAGGGATTAGAGGAATATGGACCAAATAGAAGCCAAAGTTTTTTAATTTAGAAAGGCATTATGTGTTGGTGCAGTCTTAGTGGGCTGAAGGGCCGGTTCGTGTGTTGTACTGTTCTTTCTATCATTGAAAGATGCATGTTTGTGGATGAAATTGAGCCTACTGTGACATTTCTCAGTTCAATAGCCATCTAGCAGTCCCATTTTAGCTCACACGTTGATGAGTTACTGAGGAATGGCGGGGGAGTAATGAGAACACTGCGAGTCATCACAAACACTGGAGCTGCAGGCTAGCAAGACAAAACGATGAGGAAAGTAGGTAAAGCCAAAATAATAATGTTGGCAGTAAGGAACAGTTTAAGTTGGGCATACACCAGTGAAAGCAGAAAGACAACTGGCTGTCGATATTATTAACCAACACATTCAATTAGTACACAGCAAAATCCAACAGCTCCCAAATGAGGTCAAGGGCATTCTTGACCGAGGAAGAAATAGTGGCCACCAAACCAGGATAAACTCCTTGCTCTGTCTCAGGGAGTGCCTGTTATATTTGCCTGTGAGGAACAAAGTTTGACTCGAAAAAGGGCAGCGTCACACCTTCTGAGGGGTCAGCCTTCAAATTCAGGAGTGGACTTCAAACTCATTGACTTCTGCCTCAGTATGCAATCAAGGCTAGCATTTGCTCACTTAGACAGTTTGTGCGTGGCCTTTTCTGATTTCTGTTTTGGTGATGTAATTCAGCTTCACATCATCTTGATTGTTTGCGGCTTGGTATTACTTAACCTCACAATCAACTTCCTTCCTAAAATTTATACCATTCCCCAACTGCATGCATGTCTTACTTTCTATTATGTAGTAATCTGCACTTAGACGTAAATTCCATCTGTCACTGTGCTGCCCAATCCCAAAGGATGGCCAGAATTACGTGCTCCAAGGCTGGGAGTAGGGATTGAATCCACTGAATCAGAAGCCAGGGTGCTACCGTGTGAAATAGGTTGGCACGTAAATTGGTGTTCTTGTGTCCTGGTGATTCTGGAGATGTCCCCTGCAAAATATTAAACTGTACTGTTTAGCAACTAACCATTGCAATTGTGCCCAGACTATTTCTGCTGCTGGGTCAAAGATGTGATGGTTAACCTTTCAAAACATCTTTTCAGTTTATTTTTAATAGACAAAAACAGACAGCAGTCAACAATGACTTAAACAACACAAGGCTGTAAAATACAACTTGTCCATTATAAAGATAACCATCCAAATGAATGGTTCATTTTTATATTGGCTTGATTTTGGTTGTCAAGTGGACTTATCAATATCTAATTAAGATGTTTACTGAACATCACCAGCACATTCTAATGGAAATTCATTCCTTTATTTTCTAAATAAATTCACAACATGGAACACAACTATAACTGCATGGCATCAACCATAGAGGCACAGAGATGTACAGCACAGAAACAGACCCTTCAGTCCAACTTGTCCATGCTGACCAGATATCCTAAATTAATCTAGTCTCATTCGCCAGTATTTGGCCCATATCACTGTAAACCCTTCCTATTCATGTACCCATCTAGATACCTTTTAAATGTTGTAATTGTACCAGTCTCCACCACTTCCTCTGGCAGCTTATTCCATACACACACCACCCTCTGTGAAAACGTTGCCTCTTGGGTCCCTTTTAAATCTTTTTTCTCTCACCTTAAACCTATGCACTCTAGTTTTGGACTCCCCCCAGTCCCAGGGAAAAGACCTTGTCTATTTACCCTATCCATGCCCCTCATGATTTTATACACCTCTATATGATCACTCCTCAGCCTCCGATGCTCCAGAGAAAATAGCCCCAGCCTATTCAGCCTCTCCCTATAGCTCAAACCCTCCTACCCTGGCAACATCCTTGTAAATCCTTTTCTGAACCCTTTCAAGTTTTACAACATTCTTCCTAAAGCAGGGAGACCAGAATTGCACGCAGTATTCCAAAAGTAGCGTCACCAGTGTTCTGTACAGTCGCAACATGACCTCCCAACTCCTATACTCAATGCACTGACCAATAAAAGCAAGCGTACCAAGCGCGTTCTTCACTATCCTATCTACCTGTTACTCTACTTTCAAGGAAATATGAACCTGCACTCCAAGGTCTCTTTTGTTCAGCAATACTCCCCAGGATCTTACTATTAAGTGTATAAGTCTTGCCCTGATTTGCCTTTCCAAAATGCAGCAACTCACATTTATCTAAATTAAACTCCATCTGCCACATCTCCGCCTGTTGGCCCATCTGATCAAGATTCCATTGTACTCTGAGGTAACCTTCTTCGTTGTCCACTACACCTCCAATTTTAGTGTCATTTGCAAACTTACTAACCATAACTTCTATATTCACATGCAAATCATTTGTATAAATGGCGAAAAGCAGTGGACCCAGCACCGATCCTTGTGGCATACTGCTGGTCACAGGCCTCCAGTCTGAAAAGCAACCCTCCACCACCACCCTCTGTCTTCTACCTTTGAGGCAGTTCTGTATCCAAATGGCTAGTTCTCCCTGTATTCCAGGTGATCTAACCTTGCTAACCAGTCTACCATGAGGAACCTTGTTGAACACCTTACTGAAGTCCATACAGATCACGTCCACCACTTTGCCCTCATCAATCCTCTTCGTTACTTCTTCAAAGAACTCAATTAAGTTAGTGAGACATGATTTCCCGCACCCAATGCCATGTTGACTATCCCTAATCAGCCCTTGCCTTTCCAAATGCATGTAAATCCTGTCCCTCAGGATTCCCTCCACCAATGTCAGGCTCACCGGTCTATAGTTCCCTGGCTTTTCTTTACCACCTTTCTGAAATAGTGGCACCGCATTAGCCAGCCTCCAGTCTTCTGGCATCTCACCTGTGGCTATCGATGATATAAATATCTCAGCAAAGGGCCCAGCAATCACTTCCCTAGCTTCCCAGAGTTCCAAGGTACTACTGATCAGGTCTCAGATTTATCCTCCTCCTCTGTAATATGGACATTTTTCAAGATGTTGCTATTTATTTCCCCATGTTCTCTATCTTCCAAATCCTTCTCCACAGTAAACACTGATGCAAAATACTGTCTGCATCTCCTGCATTTCCACACATAGGCAGCCTTGCTGATCTTTAACGGGCCTATTCTCTCCCTCGTTATCCTTTTGTATTTAATGTATTTGTAGAATTCCTTTGGATTCTCCTTAACCCTATTTGCCAAAGCTATCTCATGTCCCCTTTTTTGCCCTCCAGATTTCCATCTTAATTATACTCATACTGCCTTTATACTCTTCTAGGGATTCACTCGATCTCTGCTGTCTATACCTGACATATGCTTCTTTCTTATTCTTGACAAAAACCTCGATTTCTCTAGTCATTCAGCATTCCCTACACCTACCAGCCTTGCCCTTCACCCTAATAGGAACACACTGTCTCTGGACTCTCTCTCATTCTTGAAGGCTTCCCATTTTCCAGCCGTCCTTTACCTGCAAATATCCGCCCCCAATCAACTTTTGAAAGTTCTTGCCTAATACCAGGAAAATTGGCCTTCCTCCAATTTAGAACTTTAACTTTTAGATCCAGTTTATCCTTTTCCATTACTATTTTAAAACGAATATAATTATGATCACTTGCCCCAAAGTGCTCCCCCACTGACACCCCAGTCACTTGCCCTGCCTTATTTCCCAAAAATAGGTCAAGTTTTGCACCAACAGGTATATCCACATACTGTTCAGGGATGTGTAGATTAGGTGGGTTATAGGGGGATAGGTCTGGGTGAGATGACTGAGGGTCAGTGTGGACTTGTTGGGCCGAAGAGCCTGTTTCCACACTGTAGAAATTCTATGATCTATCCCAATCCCATTTTCCCAACCATGCCCGGAGTCCATCTGCCTTACCCGTTCGGCCTGTTGCATTAAAATAAATGCAGTTTAATTGATCAGTCCTGCCTCATTCTTTACTGTGTTCCTGCCTGCCCTGACTGTTTGACTTGCTCCTTTTCTCAACTGTACTAGCCTTTCAGACTGATCCCTTTCCTCACTACCTCTGAGTCCTGCCATATCCCCTCTCCAATACACCCCCTCCCCCACCCCAACCAAACACTAACCCCCCCACCCCACCCAGTTTAAATCCTCCTGAGCAGCTCTAGCATATCTCCCCGCCTGCGTATTAGTCTCCTTCCAACTTAGGTGCAATCCGTCCTTCATATACAGGTCACTTCTACCCCAGAAGAGATTCCAATGATCCAAAAATGTGAATCCTTCTCCTGCACCAGCTCCTGAGCCAGGCATTCATCTGCCCTATCCTCCTACTCCTACCCTCACTAGCGCGTGGCACCGGGAGTAATCCAGAAATTACTACCCTTGAGGACCTTCTTTTTAAATTCCTGCCTAAATTCCTATATTCTCTCATCAGAATCTCATCCTTTTCTCTTCCTATGTGGTTAGTTCCACTGTATAAAACTAGGGCCTTGAGCCCTTTCAGATCATTCTGCACCCTCTCAGAAATATCCTTGATCCTAGCATCAAGGAGGCAACACACCATTCTGATTTCTCACTGGCAGCCGGTGAAACGTCTGTCTAGACAGTCCCGTCACAATCAATTGCTTAGAACCTGACATACCCTCGTTACATTAGAGCTAATCTCAGTACCAGAACCCTGGCTGTCAGTGCTACATTCCCTTGAGAGTCCATCACTGCCTATATTTTCCAAAAGAGCATACCGGTTTGAGATGCAAGAGACTCCTGCACAAGCTGCCTCCCTCTCCTACCTTTCCCGATGGTAACCCATCTACCTGACTGTATCTTAGGTTCATCTCCCTTCCTGCAACTCCTGTCCATCACACCCCCTCGCTCCTGTAAATTTCTCATTGCCTCTAACTGCAGCTCCGGCTGATCCATGCAATCCGATAGGATTCGCAACTGAACACACTTCCTGCAGACATAATCCATCAGGAACATGGAAACTCTCCCTAATCTCCCACATCCGACAGGAAGAGCATATTACTCTACTAAAGGTCATCTTTGCACCTTAACAATCTACAGACCCAGCCTTCCTGCTCTAAAAAACACTTCTCTGGGCTAACTTAGTGCCTATGTTTTATATTTTCCAAGTTTAATCAAGAGACAGATCTCAATAAAACATAATCAAAAAGGAACCCACTTTACTCACTATTGAAGATGTTCAACAAAAAAAACAGTAAGGTTTCACTTTAAAAAGCCACTTAGCTGCTTCCCTGCTGTGAGCTCTCCCACACGTTTCCCCAAGGTCAGCTGTGAATTTTGCTGTTTATTAATTTTTCTTAGACAACACCAATGTCCAGAGATACTTGAAATCAAACAACAGGATAATCAACTGTGCAGATCCACTGCTGGGTCAAACAGCACTGTGGGTTTCTTTCTGTTTGAATCACTCCCCATAATGGTCACTGCCTTAGTCAGTCTTCCTCCTTTGTAAAGTGCCATTGTTTTGATCATATTTTCCTGAAGTTCCAAAACAATTGAACACCTTATAAAACAGTAATTACTGCTCCCAGAATTCAAGAAAAATCAGCTCTAACACTGAAAATACCTCAAAATAAAGGAGCAGTTCTTATAGCCACAACTTTTTCCCATCCTCCATCATGACTCATTTACATAAAGCTTATTTTCCACTCCCTACAAATGTTTCAACTTTGATATATGAACATGAGCCCTGTTGTCAAAGGAATGTTCATCCATACAGGATCAATCCTGACATTGGACAGCGGGATATATTTCCACCTTGGTGACCGGAAGAGAGGCAAGTCCAAAAGCCAACCACTAATTTGTGAATCTTCATTGATCTTTTTCAGGGCGAAAGAGGTCACCCAGGACCACGTGGACAACCAGTAAGAAAAATAGCTTGAGTGCGCGGGGAAATATTAGAAATTGAACTTTTTATAGACCTCTAGAATGCGAGTTCATTGCTTTAGGTTAAAGGGCGGCAGATTTAAAACAGAGCCAAGGAGGAATTACTTTTCTGTGGAATTCACCATCCTAGATTGCTTTGGATGCTCGGACATTGAGTAAGGAGGAGATATACAGATTTTTAATTAGCAACAGCTTAAAGAGTTATGGGGAGCAGACAGGAAAGTGGAGCTGAGGCAGAGATGAGATCAGCCATAATCATACTGAATGGCAGAGCAGGCTCGAGGGGCTGAATGGCCTACTCCTGCTCTTAGTTCTGATGTTATGTTCTTATATCTATCTACATGGAAGATCAGAAAGCATATTCTGTAGAATGTCTACATGTCTAAAGTGAAAAGAAAAGGTGGCGTTCAATTCATGTGGAGGTCAATCACAGGTTAATTGCTACAGGAGAAGGAAACTGCAGATTAACCTAGAGCCAGAAAGTTACACGGATTTGACAATCTGATAACTTCTCTAACTAACAGCGAGCAAATTGTACCTGATTGTTAGGATCGATTTTGACAATTTCAGCATGGTGTGCCCTTCAAGAAACAGACCAGGTTATGACCGAAACATCGCCATTATTCTGGACACTAGGTTACCAATGAGCAGTGCATTGAGAAATTAACTAACACACAGACATTTAAACAAAATCTTTTGGGAACCTGTTCAAAAACTGAACTGAACTAGTCCCAGACTTCAGTTTAAGTCCATTTTCGTTGGATAATTGCTGCTGTATTATTAACATTGACGCCATTGACAGGAAGGAAAAATGCAATACCCCTCTGTTTTTCTGTCCAGCTTCAACTGTACACAGCATAATTATCAGAATGACTCAGGTTTTACTTAGGTTCAGGGTTGTGAGCAACATTCTCATTTTGCAATGAGAGAGAGAAGGTGGGGTCACAAGATTAAAGATAGAACAGAGTAACAGGATTATTCAATCCTTCAATTGAGCTGTATGGAAACATACAGAACACACCATGTCAAGAGTACTGGAAGCAAAAATGAGACTTAAAACTTGATTCATCCTAACTGCGTACAAGCACGTTTGACTAGACGTTCAATACTGGAGAATGTTAATTTTAACGACTCAACTAACGCTTGCACTTTCAGTATCTTCATCTATTCTTTTTTATTTGTTGTAATTTATAGGCTAAGAAAAAACTATAAACACGGTAAATATGAAATAAGGACCAAACAGTGCAGAAAAGGCACAACAGAGAACAGACACAATTACTACAATGTAGTGAAAACTGGACAGACTTAAATAAAGAATGAGCAGGTTTTAAAAAAGAAAAAGAATGCAAAAAGTTGTTTCAAACTTTTTTTTGGGGGGGGGGGGGATGGGAAGGTGGGCAGAAGGGAAAGGACATTTACGGAAGATGCCAAAGGCGTGAAACAGCAGATGCACTAGAGGAGAATTAATGTCCACTTGGAGAGGCAAGGATCAATCAAGAGTAGTTAGCAAGGCTTTGTAAGAAATTGATTAAATTTTTCAAGGAGATAACTAGGTCTGTAGGTGAGAGTAGTGCACTTGATGGGAGTATATATGGACTGCAATAAAGGCTTTTATCTCATATTGCAGACTGGTTAAGAAGCAAATTGGATAAAATTGGACGAGCAGCAAGAAGAGGAGGGTGCTGGTTAAACTGTGCTTTTGCAACTGGAAGCCTGTATCCAGTGGCATATCACATGGTTTGCTGCTGGCTCCCTTCCTGTTTATTAATGATCAAGACATGAATGTGGGAGCTATAATTAGTTAATTCACAGATGACATAAAATGGTTGATGTGGTAAATAGTGAGGAGGAAAGCTCTAGGATGATATAAATGGGCTGGTCACATGGTTGAATAATGACAAATGAAATTTAATCCTGAAGAGTGTAAGGTGACACATTTTGGGAGGAATAACAGAATAAGGGAGTATATGCTGAATGGTAGGACCCTAGGAAGAGCAGAAGATGAGAGGGGCCAAAGTTTTTATGTTCATAGATCCTTGAAGTCAGCAGGACAGATAGATAAGATGGCGAAGAAGGCAGATGGCATATTTGCCTTCATGATTCAAGGCACTGAATACAGAACCAGGAGGCTATGATGGAGGTGTATTTTTTTTTTTATACATAACGTTAGTTAGGGCACAACTAGAGTACTGTGTGCAGCTCCAGTCACCACACACTCAAAAAGATGTGACTGCACTAGAGAGGGTGCAGAAGATTCACCAGGATGTTGCCTGGGGTGGAGCAACACAGCTATGAAGCGAGACTGGATAGGTTGGGGTAGTTTTCCTCAGAGTGGAAAAGCTGATTGAGGTGTACAAAATTCTGAGGAGTATAGCAAGAAAAGTTTCCCCTTTTGAGAAGATCAGTTACGGGATACTGTCTGTGTGGAGTTTGCACATTCTCCGTGTCTGCGTGGGTTTCCTCCGGGTGCTCCAGTTTCCTCCCACAGTCCAAAGATGTGCAAGCTAGGTGGATTGGCCATGCTAAGTTTCCCAGAGTGTTCAGGGATGTGAAGATTAGGAGGGTTTGGGGAATGGGTATGGGTGGGAGTCTCCGAGGGTAGGTGTGGACTTGTTGGGCAGAAGGGCCTGTTTCCACACTGTAGGGATTCTATGAAAGGATTCTACCAGGGGAGACAGTTCAAAATAAGGAGCGGGAGGCTTCAGAGCAGATTTGAAGAAAAAGTTGTTCACCCAGAGGATTGTGAATATCTGGAACTCACTGCCTATGAGGGTGGTAGAAGTGGGAACCCTCAAGGTGTTTAAGAACTATTTTGATGAACACTTGAAACACCATAGCAAACAAGGGCCACGTGCTAAAAATGGGATTCGGATAGATGCTCAATGACTGGTACAGATACAACGGGTTAAAAGGTCTCCTGCCATGCTGTAAAAACCCTATGACTCTATATGAGATACATCAACATGGTCAAACTGATAGGGCAGTCTGTCAGCCCCTCACCCACTGCCTCAGTTGTTCTAACCATTCCATGTACTTAAAAATGAACCATTTGAATTTATTTCCTAATACTTCTCGGTACTGTCTCATGTTATTACTTCTGGCTTGTAACAATCTCCCTCTCTTCATTTAAATACTGGACAGTTCATTCTGCTATCTGTGTTGTGTATGCAGAGTTTACTGGATACATTGTAGATGTTTGTTGCCTGTATTGGATACATGTGGGTATTTCTGTTCTCTCAGAGTGTCTACACCAGGGATTCCCAAAGTGGGGTTTCAGCTGATAAGTAGCAAGCAACATTTTCAACAAGTGCCAGGAAATAACAATATCCAATGAGACAGAATCTAACCATCTCCCCTTGACATTCAATGGTATTACCACTTAATTCCCCATCATCAGTACCCTGGGGGGGGGTTACCATTGAGGAAAAACTGAGCTGGATGAGTCATATAAATACAATGGCCAGGAGAGGAGGTCAGATACTGGGAATTCTGTGGTGAGTAACTCACTCCCTGACTCCCCAAAGCCTGTCCAACATCCACCAGGCAGAAATCAGGAATGTGATGGAATAGTCTCCACTTTCGTGGATGGAGGCAGGTCCAGCAACACTCAAAAATCTTGATATCTTCCAGGACAAGCTCACTTGATGGACACCCCAGCCAACACATTTGACTGACTCCCTTCAACACCAACGCACAGTGTCAGCAATGTGTATGATCACCGAGATGCTTTTCAACAATTCACCTTTGATAGCACCTTTCAAATATGCGTACACCACCGTCTAGAAGGTGGAGGGCAGCAGATACACAGGAGTATCACCGCCTGCAAGTTCCCCTCGGAGTGACTCACCATCCTGACTTGATTTGTGTTCCTTCAAAGTCGCTGGGTCAAAATCCTGGAATTCCGTTCCAAACTGCGCTATGGGTGGACCTACACCACATGGAATGCAGCAGTCCAATGAGGCAGATCGCCACCACCTTTTCAAGGGGTAGCTGGGCAATAAATACTGACCCAGTGATGAACTAATCACTTGCTTTTGAAAAGGTGCTGTGACAGTTAAACGAAGAAGGTAAAGCCCCGAAATGGGGCTTCTCTCCAACTTTCTCAAAATTTGAAGTTATGAAAGGTCAGGTCACCATTAAGCAGGCAACAAGGGGGACGGAGCAAGTTAGAAGGACTCCCTTGACAAAGAGCCCAGAGCTGCTTTGAACCCGAGTCAGTAAGGAGGGCCAGAAAGCCTACCTGGAGCACTGATACCCCTGAAACCAACAAGCCACCTCCAGATGACTGCGTTGACCCAGTCAACCTCTGACAATTGGATTTAAGTGGCCACATCGAAAAGCTCATTTGGCTTCATCAGTGGTCGTCCTTTCCCCAGTTGGCTTTGGGAAAACAATCTGGGAGATGGGAGCAAGGAATCTGCAAAACTCCCCGTCCAGCCACTAGTCTTTGTGCTTCCCCTACGCCACTGGTTAGTGGTTCCTCTAAAAAGCCAGACCCCAGTCCCCGTTCGACAAGGTGCCAAATGGACTCCTGTGCCCTGTTCTGCATAATTCTGAAGGCTGGTGATCGTCCTGCTTTCTCAACAACATCTGCACAGAAGCAGCAGCTGCTGCACCTGGAGATATTTTGTTTTCTCTACAGTTTAATGCAACTTTGATGTTACACTTCAGAGATTACTGACATGCACAAGTGCTTTTATGTTCAACACAGGAAATCTGCAAAACTGGCAAGATAACTGATAACAAGAATGGAATTTGGAACAAGTAGGGGGAAGCAAGGGATTTTGAATCTGACTGATGCAGAAAAGTAACTATTGCATACTTACAGAATACAACAGTGAATTTAAATTTCACACCTTGTCTGTGCCTTCACCTGAAGCAACAGTTGTGTTACACAACTAATGCTGGTGGTGTGCTGTCACATTGTGCAGGGATACTGATGCAAGGAGAAAGAGAGAAAATTGGAATTTCAGTAAGGCATCTAGAAATGCCAATTTATTGATGCTGAATCCCTTCAAAAGAAAAAAGATTTGCATTGATATCGTGTTCTTCAAGGCCAACAAATGTCCCACGTGGGTCACAGCAATTTAACCAACATTTAAAAGGAATCTTGACATGTACATGATTAGGAAGGGTTTAGAAGGATATATGCTGGCAATGGGACGAGATTAACTTGGGATGTCTGGTTGCCATGGACGAGTTGGACCCAAGGGTCTATTTCTGTGCTGTACATCTCTATGACTATGACTGTAAGTGCTTTTGAATATTGTTGTATTGTAGGAAATGCAACAGCCAATTTGCACAAGCCTGTTCCCTTTTTTTTGGTGATTTCGATCAAGAAGTACATTTTGGTCAGACCAACTGCTCTTTTTCAAAAATTGTTTTACACCTGTACAAATGGACAGACAAGGCCTCAGTTTAACACCTTGTCTGAAAGGCAGCACGTCTGCCAATGCAGTGCTCTCTCAGGCTGCACTGAAAGGTCAGCCTTGTTTTTTTTAAGCAGGGCTTGAACATACGAATTGTGTAACTCCAAGGTAAGACAGCTCCCAACTCCAGCCGACATTCATTAGCTCAGTGTTCTTCAGTCCCTTAAACAGTGATGACAAGCGCTTCATGTGGAACTCAGATGATTAGTAAGTAAAAGTCTTACTTCAGTGGTGGGCAAATTATTGGAAAGGGCTCAGAGATAGGATTTATGATCACTTGGATAGGCACAGTTTGATTTGTGATAGTCAGCATGGATTTGTGAGGGGTAGATCATGCCTCACAAACCTTATTGAATTCATGTGGATGAAGGCAGAGCAGTGGATGTGGTATACATTGATTTAAGTAAGGCGTCTAATAAGGTTCCCCATGGTAGGCTCATGCAAAAAGGAAGGAGGCATGGGATAGGGGGAAATGTGGCAGATTGGATTCAGAATTGGCTAACCCTTAGAAGACAAAGGGTGGTAGTGGACGGAAAATATTCAACATGGTGCTCAGTTACGAGTGGTGTACCACAAGGATCTGTTCTGGGTCCTCTTCTATTTGTGATTTTTGTAAATGATTTGGAAGTAGGAGTGTAAGGGTGGATTAGTAAGTTCGCAGATGATACAAAGGTGGGGCGAGTTGTGGATCGTGCAGAGGGCTGTTCTAGGTTACAAAAGGACATTGATAGGATGCAGAGCTGGGCTGAGAAGTGGCAGATGGAGTTTTAACCCTGAAAAGTGTGAGGTGATTCATTTTGGAAGGACAAACTTGAAAGCAGAATACAGGGTTAATGGAAAGATTCCTGGCAGTGTGGAGGAGCAGAGGGATCTTGGGGTTCAAGTCCACAGTTCCCTGAAAGCTGCCACCCAGGTGGATAGAGTTGTTAAGAAGGCATATGGCGTGTTAGCTTTCATTAATAGAGGGATTGAGTTCAAGAGCCGTGAAGTTATGCTCCAGCTATACAAAAGCCTGGATCGGCCACATCTGGAGTATTGTGTCCAGTTCTGGTAGCCTCATTACAGGAAAGATGTGGATTCATTGGAAAAGGTGCAGAGGAGATTTACCAGGATGTTGCCTGGAACGAAGGGAAGGTCTTACGAGGAAAGGTTGAGAGAGCTAGGGCTTTTCTCTTTAGAACGACGAAGAATGAGAGGTGACTTGATAGAGGTGTATAAAATGATCAGAGGTATAGAGTGGACAGCCAGAGACTTTTTCCTTGGGTGGAGGTAGCTATTACGAGGGGGCAGAGTTTTAAAGCGAGTGGAGGTAGATATTGGGGAGATGTCAGAGGTAGGTTCTTTACTCAGAGTGGTAGGGGCATGGAATGCATTGCCGGAGCGGGTATTGGAGTTGGCCTCATTAGGGGCATTTAAGTGGCTATTAGATAGGCATATGGATGATAGTATAAAGGTAGGGGTGGAGGTTAGATAGACCTTAGGTTTAGGGTAAAAGTTCGGCACAACATCGTGGGCCGAAGGGTCTGTGCTGTACTGTTCTATGTTCTATGTTCTATGTTCTATGTTCTATGTTCTATGTTC